AGTGGAAAGTGTTATAATCCCATGAAACTCGGAAGAGCTCTGTGGTCATGTCAGGGTCTTCCCGGCTCCCAGCCAGACCCAACAGAACTTCACAGAACTGAGAACTGGGCAAATCCAGAACTGGCTCCCCAAGCAACTGCACAGCACTAGGACATATCAGAACTCCGAGAACCAGGAAGTACCGACATTTTTAAAGAGCTTTTTTCCCGGTTCATTTGGGAGTCTTCCCATTGGTCAGTACCGACCAGACAGGGGTGTGTTTTGTGACGTAAGAGGTTACTAGGAGTCAGAAAAAGCAAGAATTGTTATGGAACAGGTTAAACTGTTCTCAGAGACAGAGAGAGTTTTGTTTTGGCGAGTTTGGAAAACAGGTGCCAACTCTACGTCTGAGAGGATGTAAACAAGACAGTTGTTCCAACACATGTCTGCTTCGACTCCTGACCTTGGAAAACGCACACTTGCTCATTCAAAGACAGAAATCAGAAAATGCATAAAAATCTGTAACAGACCTTAACATGAATTCTAACTCTGCATAAGCATTAAAAATCATTATTACTGTTTTACAGTTAATAAAATTGATTAGTTCACTGCAACATCTAAAATGGTTTGAACTAAGACACTTTGATTATCAACATTTGTAAAATAGTAATGATAATAAAAAAGAGAGTGTTCTTCCACTTGATTTTCAAGAAAGAGAGTCTCAGGATGGGTGAACCTGTATTTCTGGATTCAAATCAATGAAATGACAGTTCCTGTCCCACAAGGTTCTTAAGGTCAAGGGTTTTGACCTTAGGCTTAGTTTTGACATCAGGTTAAGTTCACTACATACCTCTCCTAAAGCCACTTTGATATTGTGACATATATCCTTTTGATTGTATATAGTAAATCAATCTGTCATTAATCATTTTCTCCATTATTTTGCATATATTAGACGTTAATGCAACCGGTCTGTAATGTTCTGGGTTTGTGTCATCTTTGCCTGGCTTGTGTATTGGTATTATCACTGCTTCTTTCCATCCCTGTGGTAATTTTCCATTCTCCCAAACTTTATTATAAAGATCCAATAAAATGTCTTTAGAGGATTCACTAAGATGTTTCACCATTAAATAACAAATCTGATCTTTCCCAGGTGTTGTTAGCTTAAATTTCTGTAGGGCTCCATTTAGTTCTGATTTTGTAAAAGGAACATTTAATAGATCATTTCCATCCTCTACATGCTCCAAGATCTCTCTATTCTCTATCATTGTCATTTCTCTTCCCCTTTTCCCTTCCAAAGTAATATTATCTGAACTATGTATTTTAGTAAAGGTTTTAACCATCAGATCTGCCTTTTCTTCATCTTTTACTGCTGTAATTTGACCATTGCTTAATACTGGATAACCATATTCTCTTTTAATCCCATTCATTCTTCTTATCATTGTCCATACTCAATTCATCTCGCAAGACCCTCGGAGCATGTGGAGGGGCATTAAGTGCATAACAGATTATAAAGGAAGGAGTGAACAATGCCCCAAAGACCCATCTCTGCCTGATGCCCTCAACAAGTTCTATGCACGCTTTGAAGACCCGAACAGACCACCCAGCACCAGACTCACCTCACCACCGGATGAAGAGAATCTCAGCGTGACCTCAGCAGAAGTAAGGAGTACCTTCAGGAGGATTAATCCGCACAAGGCAACTGGCCCAGATAACATCCCCGGAAAAGTGTTGAAAGAATGTGCTGATCAGCTCTGTGAGGTGCTGGCAGACATCTTTAACACCTCACTTACCCTGGAGACAGTTCCCACCTGCCTGAAGACTGCCACCATCATCCCAGTCCCAAAAAGCTCTACAGTGACTGGTCTGAATGACTATCGGCCAGTGGCCCTCACCCCGATAGTCGCTAAATGCTTCGAAAAACTGGTCATGACTC